GATGACTTCGAGAACTTTAGATGTGCAATAGAATCTAGAGATGAACTGCCGAAACCTGAATTTCTCAAAATCAAAATAATTGAGGAACATGCTGCTCGTGCTGAGAAGAAGAAGGAAGGAGAGGCTGCTTTCGTCGCGAAGAAGGGATTTACTCATCATAAATGGAAGACAGGTCACAACAAAGAAGATTTCGATTCTGGAAATAAAGAAACGGAACGATTTCGATTTAAATGCCATCACTGTCGAAGAATCGGCCACAAATCTTCAGAATGTTATTTCAAGAAGAAGGTGGAAGAGAATGTTAAAAATGCTGATGAAATAGATGACATAAGTTTTCAAGTTGAAGTCACAAGTTATAAAGAGGAATGTACACTGATGGTCATGTCGAATTACTGGTGTCTCGATAGTGGATGTACTTCACATATGTGCTCTGAAAGTGATAAATTCGAAAATATGTCACCACTTCAAAACAAGAGAGTTAACATGGCTAATAATACATCGACAGAAGTTGTAGCTGAAGGCATCATCAAGCTGAATTTACAAGATATCGACCAAACTGAATCACTACAGTTGAAAAACACTCTGTACATTCCTGACTTGAGATCAAATTTAATGTCAGTTGGAAAAATGACTGACAGTGGTTTTGACGTTCACTTCACAAATACCAATGCATTCGTATTTGATAAAGATGGAAAAGTAAGATTAATTGCTGATAGAATACAAGGTTTATACTATGTTCGGGAAAATAAAGAAGAAAATGTGAAAAGTGTTCATGTCCAAGAAAAGACTGATCCTCTACAATTATGGCATAAGAGACTCGGTCATTTGAACGAACAGGATATCAAGAGTATGGCAAAGCTGTTGAATATTAAAATTGATGAAAGTTTATCATTGCCGCCTTGCGAAACTTGTATCAAAGGAAAGATGACACAGACTCCTTTTCCTAAGAAATCGATTAGAAGCTCAAGAATTTTGGAAATAATTCACACAGATATATGTGGACCAATGAAAGTTGAATCGTTGGGCAAAGCTAAATATTTCATCACGTTCATTGATGATTATTCAAGATGGTGCGAGGTTCGTTTTCTGAGGAAGAAAAGTGATGCCCTGGAAGTTTTCAAGTGTTTCAAAAACCTCGTAGAAAATCAGACTAGTATGAAAATACAGAATCTGCAGTCTGATAATGGTGGAGAATATTGTAGTCGCGAATTTGACGAACTGCTGAAGAACTGTGGAATAAGGCGGAGACTAACAGTGCCGAATACACCTCAGCAAAATGGTGTTGCTGAACGTCGGAATAGGATTTTCCTGGATATGACAAGGTGCATGTTAATTGATTCACAGTTACCGCATCCATTCTGGGCTGAAGCTGTAGCGACTGCATGTTATATACGAAATAGATCTCCATCAAAAAGTATACAGGGTGAGATACCATATAAACTGTGGACAAGAAAAAATCCTTCATTCAGTCACTTCAAATCTTTTGGATCACGAGGTTATGCCTTGAATAAGAAACCGAATATAGATAAATTGGAATCTCGTTCCAATGAGTCCATTTTCTTGGGATATTCCGAAGAATCGAAGGGATATAGAGTATGGCTAAAAAATGAAAGTAAAGTCGTAATAACGCGAGATTTCAAAATAGTGACGGAATTTTCAGTGGTGAAAGAAGATAAATCATGTATATCAACATCAACAGATCAAGGCAAAACTGTGGGATTCATAGAACAACAGAAGCTTGGAAATATACCTGTAGAAGTAGCAATTAATGAAGAAAACAACCAGGAAGAAATTGAAGATACAGAAAATTTTGGTTCAATGCGACATGAAAATAATGATTCTGAGCCATCTACATCGAATCTCCGAAGAGGGCCAGGGCGACCAAAAATCGTACGATCTGGAAGAGTTGGAAGACCAAAGAAGATATACACCATGCTGCCAAGGAAGCCCCAACCAAATTCAGAAGATAGTGGAAATGGAGTGATAGAATCATTCGAAGGCAACGAGATTGCTAATAATATTCAATTGTCAATGACAGAAGCGTTATCTGGAAATCATTCAGTAGAATGGAAAGAGGCAGTTAGAAAAGAGTTCACTTCTCTGTTAAAGAACAAAACATGGATACTTGTTGATTGTCCAAATAATAGAGAACTGGTTGGATGCCGGATGGTACTCGTAAATAAATACAAAGCTGATGGTTCGTTAGAGAAGAGAAAGGCACGTTTAGTAGCAAAGGGCTATTCTCAATGCCCTGAAATTGATTACCAAGAAACCTTCGCTCCAGTTGTCCGTATCAGTTCTTTGAGAGTATTATTATCTCTTGCTCAACAACTTGAAATGCTGATACATCAACTGGATATAGAAACTGCTTTTCTCAATGGAGAATTAGAAGAATCCATTTACATGGAATTACCAGAGAAACTCGATGTTATCTTGGAGGAAATCATTTTACATGGATCTGGTGAAGAAGCTGAACAAGCCAGGAAAATGCTGAATCTCATGAAATCAGGAAATAAAGTATGTTTACTCCAGAAAGCGTTATATGGGTTGAAACAAGCAGGTCGACAATGGTATAGAAGAATGCACGATGTACTCATCAATTTTGGTATGGAAGCTTGTCATGCAGATCCATGTATCTATAAAATGAAAGAAGATTGTGAAATTTTGTTATTGGCAATTTACGTAGATGATATAATTCTATTTTCCAAAAGTGAATGTTTTCTTCGTAAATTGAAAGAAGAATTGGGAAAATGTTTCACAATAAAAGATCTAGGAAAATTCATTTTTGCCTAGGAATCGAGTTCAGTTTCACAAAAACAGGAACTCTACGAATGTCACAGAGAAAATATATTGAAGACACCTTGAAAAGATTTGGAATGCTTGATTGTAAGCCTGCAGCAACGCCTTTGGAATGTGGAATTAGGTTGGAAAAACCTACAATGAAAGATGAAACTGAAATGAAGAAATATCCGTATCGGTCTTTGGTAGGTACTCTGATGTATCTTGCTACAACAACACGACCAGATATTACCTTTTCGGTGAATTATCTAAGCCAATTCAACAATAATTATAACGAGAGTCATTGGAAGGCAGCTAAGAGAATTTTACGCTATCTGCAAGGCACTATCAACATGGAACTTCAGTATAGAAAGAAGAAAAAACGACTTGAAGGTTACTCTGATGCAGACTGGGGTAGCGATATAACAGACAGAAGATCTTATTCAGGTCATGTATATCTATGGGGTGGAACAGCTATATGTTGGCAGGCCAAGAAACAACGCACTGTAGCTTTATCTAGTACGGAGGCAGAGTACATGTCGCTAACAGAAGCCACCAAAGAAAGTATCTATCTGTACAATCTGATGACGGAAATAGGCATGGACAATATACAGCCTATTACAATCTTTAGCGACAATCAAGGAGCTCAACAACTTGCGAAGAATCCTGTTCACCATTCGCGTTCAAAGCACATAGATATAAAGCATCATTTTGTTCGTCAAGTTCTCGATGAACAAGGGATAATCATCAAATATATTCCTACTGAATATATGATAGCAGATATTTTTACAAAGTCACTCCCAAAATTGAAACATGAATATTGTTTAGAAGAGATGGGATTGAAGTTGAGAACTGCTCTTGATTGAGGCGGAGTGTTGGATATTATAGGATAACATCCTGTATACAATCGAAGAGTAGTTATATCCATTATTGATTTATATTGACTGTCTTTTGTTATTGATATAAAATGTCACGTTGACTTTTTCTGTAATTTAATACATTGAAATAAAAACCTTTTCTGGAAACTTATTCAAAGTCTAAAACAATTATGAATGGTTTAGACACAAAAAATTCTTGAACTTGGAAAATCTCGATTTCTCACACCCTATATCTCAGTAATTATAACTGCTAGACCCCAAGTATGATGGATTGTTGAAATCAGCTCACCAGGGAGAATCTCAAAATGAAATAATATATAGGGTGTTCGATTGAAAAAAGTTCAACTTCAGTGTTTTGTGATTTTTGGGGACATCCTGTATGTTTCAAAATAATTTCAAATGGTAGCCTATGTTGACATGCAACTTCCTAGAGAGGAAGAATTCCAAGTAGATAAGTGGTTAGCCTTCTAGAGACCGAGGCGTTACTGGTGGCCCACCCTGTATAGAATGTCATACCACTACCTGGGCCAATGTAAGGCGTTATGGAACGCTAAAATTCGAAATCTCTGGTACTGATACGCTTCAACATTAAGATCAAATTACTGTGGACGGACATACTGACCTTCATCAGAAATCCAAAGGGGTTCGAAAAGAAGAATAAGGAGAAGGAATAGTAGATATTATGTGCACATGATGTATACAGCAGGGGTCGGAACAAAAGACTCACTGGGGCCTACTTGCTAGGCGACCGCCTCTCTTTTCTCTACTACTACTAGTATGTACCTATTCCAATGAAAAATTAATTGGCAAAATTATAATTTCTTATCACTTGTAGTATCCCGGAGTTAATATAAATTGGGAGAGTATAATATGTTACATTTTAAACTAGTATTTTCATGCAGATATAAAAGGTAGAAATCAGGAATCTAGTATTGGTGCCGAAACTGCGACCCAAACTAAATTTATTCATGAACCTGTATACAAATCAAATGAACAAATAAATTCTAAAATTATTTAATTTCCAAACGCAATCTGGTGTGCAATTTTCTTACCCGTCTTCTACTCGGAATAATATTCAAAATATCCATGAGCTCGAAAAAATTTCCGGAAATTATTTGACACACTAAATTCTTTTGCATGAATTATTCCGCAGTTTTGCATTTTTCCACTAATTTCAGTGGACTACTACTGAAGATTACCTGTGAAAGTTTGCTTCTGTTCTTCAACATGGGAGTATTATTATTGCACATGTAGTTAAAATTCAATAATTAAAATTGCTTTAAAGCTAAAATCATCACCATTATCCGCATTATCAAACAATGAAACGCATATTTACTGATTTCGTTAGAATCGCTTTTCTTCTATGATTTCAGTTCCTATAGTTGATTCAGATTGAGATCTGTGAAAACGAAAAAACATGTATCAGTATTATTGAATGGAGTGGGTATAAGTTCAAGGTAAGATGGCTACATGTAGCCATCTTAGTTCAAGGGCAGTTGGTTCAAGAAACACAACTAATTGTTAAAAAATTAATTACGAGTAAACAAACATGCAAATAAATATTGCAAAATAACTCTTCCGAGCCTTATAGACAAACTTTTAAAAAGAAAAAGGTACTCACAGGAGAATAAATTTGGCTAAATACGTTGATTGATGCTCTTTATCACACTGTTAACACAAAATAAAAAGAAAATCAGTAGGTTAACAAAATCACACAACAAAAAAGAAATTCAAGCTGAACACTACTTCCAAGCAACCATTCAGGCGGAATACATACAGTATTGAAATATGCAGACCATCGCCATTCTTTTCGTTATGCAGACTCTTCACTGTAATATTCATATATTTGAAATATAATAAGCAACAAATAAAGCAAATTCCTAAGATCAATAAAGGAGCAGTTTCAAGTATTTTTACCCTATTTTGACCCTAAAAATGTTACAAGCTAATATTGTAGTTGAAATGAATTCCCAACATCATGATAAGGAATGCCAAGATTGAGTTGATATAACCATCTTCAGATGATTGTTTTCACGGATTAATACACGCCTATTCTAAGAACCAATGAGATTTCTTCAATTTTTTAAAACCGACCAATCACCAGGCATATGTAGTGAGAAAAAGCTACCTAACTTTCCCAATAAACGATAAATATGCACCTTGCTTTCAATCAACACACTTCTTCAATATCAAAAATATATAATTTTTTTATTGAACTACTACACTAGCTGTATCAAGTGGGAACCAGCCCCATATTTCTGTAGGCAAAATCCTACATCATCCGGCTCGAAGGACCATGTATAATTTTGCCTACAGAAGGAAGAGCATTTTCTGTGATGCATAGCATTGCTAAAAAATAATAACTTCAACCAGCGTTGGTAACCGAACGGTACTTACGGCAAAAAAAATAGGAACACAAATAATAGCGAATTTTGAAAGGTTAAAGTTGCAAGTTCAAATGTTTAAACTCAAGAGCTACATCATATTGTCTTTTCACGTTTGCGTTTGGAGTTTATTCTTCTCCAGAAAGGAAAAAATGAAGGTGTACAGGGTATCCCAATTTGGGCACTTTTGCGGGGTATCTCCCTTATCAGTAAAGATAGAGCATTGCGGTTTTCGCGACAGTGTGCTACTTTTTTATGAAATTAATAATGGCGCAAGCAGAATTGTGATAGCTCTTCCGGTTGTCGAGATACAGGGTGGAATTGAAAAATAACACTTTTCAGGCACCCTCTGTGTCTCAGTTATCTTTGAACTTATCGAAGAAGTTAAAACTTGTTTTTATAGAGTTTTTCTCGTAGAATCCAGTGGCGTAGTTATTTTTTTGCTAGCACCTTTTGTTTTTCAGTTATGGAGCAAACATATGTTTTTTTAAATGGAACACCCTGTATATTATTTCATATATACATTGAGCATGAAGTGGGCTTTCCAAAAATATATAATTGTAAAAAATTATTTTCCATTTAAAAAAACATATGTTTGCTCCATAACTAAAAAACAAAAGGTGCTAGCAAAAAAATAACTACGCCACTGGATTCTACGAGAAAAACTCTACAAAAACAAGTTTTAACTTCTTCGATAAGTTCAAAGATAACTGAGACACGGGGGGTGATATTTTTCAATTCCACCCTGTATCTAGACAACCGGAAGAGCTACCACAATTCTGCTTGCGCCATTATTAATTTCATAAAAAAGTAGCACACTGTCGCGAAAACCGCAATGCTCTATCTTTACTGATAAGGGAGATACCCCGCAAAAGTGCCCAAATTGGGATACCCTGTACATTCTGGTCGCCACAGATATTCATCTTGATGAAACAATTCGTCCAAACCTCGTTCTTTCATTCACCTTTCAATGGTAAAATGTTCATGGAAAAATAGGTACTCTTGAAAATTATGCTTAGGTACTCAATACCATTCAAGAACCTCTTTTCTATTGTTTTCACCATTTTTCTTTATCTTCTGATAGTGCTCAGACATAGAGCTTCGCTCACCCTGTACAATATATCATGACATTTGAACGAGAATATATAATTTCAATTTTGTTTTCATTTGACTTCCTAATCCTGTAAGAATAAAAATGAAAATTAACTTCTAATTCAATCAACAAATCAATAAAAATGTTTTAATGATAATTGATTGCAACATTAACCTTTCTCCTAAATGAATATTTATATTTAATCATGTATATTCGTTAATAAAAGCAAAAAACAAGAAAATATTTCAAATAATGCGAGCGCTTCCCATCAGCCAACATAAGATAGAAAGAGATAGGTATCCGTAACCACTGCAGGTTGCCTGAACAATATTTTTGCCTCACTCGTCGTTCACAGAGGATCCCTTCCAGTTGTTTACATTGAGGTCAATGTTCAGAAAGTATCAATTGTATTTCAGAATTTTCAATTTCAGAAAGCGTCTATTGTATTTCAGAATAGTCAATTGATGTTTTTCTGAAATACAAATGACACTTTCTGTAATACAACTGGAAAAGGTGTAGTAGATGAAATTAGGCCTTAATCGATTCCCTATCGATTGCTTTCCACTAATATCTAAAGAAATAATAAATGCATGGGTAGAGTATAGTTGTATTTGACGGTTAGAATGATTAATGAAAAGTAGTATGAAGTGAACCTTGAAGCGCCTTCCACAACCAAATTCCTTTATTGATCTCGCATGCCCCCTGTACAACCAAGACCAATAACGGTCGCGAAAACTCACCTAGAATAACTAATCGGGCTTATGTCCAAAGTAGCGTCCACGGGCCCTATCACATACTTGTTAACGAAATCGTACCGCAACAGTCTCGTATTCCCTATCGACACGATCAGATGCACGACCAGATAAAGACAGAAGAGGAGATAGAATATGCCGACGACGATGACGAGGAGGAGCGAGAACCAATGCAAGTCCAGCTCGTTCATCGTGTTCACTACGAAGTAGGTGTTGATGCCGATGACTACGATGCTGAGCAATATCGACGCCACCATGTTTCCACTGAAAATACACAAATGACATTGGACACTACACACTGTCTGACCACTAACCAAATTGTCTTCGTATAATGTTGGCGTTGTTGATATAGGCGATTAGCAGATCATTTAAGTAAAGCGAGATCCTGAATGGTCTAGGTCTAGGGTAACTAGTCATTATTTAGCATATTTCTTCTGCGGAGAATGACCTCGGTGGACCGGCTGCCGAATCGATAATTTGAAAACATAATAATACACCTTTAACAATGGTTCTCCGGCTGTTGTGTGATCAGTTTTTGGTGTTCAAGTACTAAATGTAATATGCCAGAGTCTAATAAACTTTCAATTAGTAAAGGTGTTCCACAGGGACCTGTTTTAGGTCCCATTTTGTATTTCTTATATATTCGAAATATTTCTAAAATTGGATTGTCAGGTTTTTATACTATACAGTGTGTCCCACTTACCATGCTCACCATGGGTATCTTTTTAACGGTGAGAGATACGAGGTCGGTTAAATGACACCAAATGTGGAGTTTGTCAAGGCCAACTATAATAACTTTTTTTCCTCTTTCAGATGAAATGTTGCAGTAATAGTTTTGTGTTGATAACAACGGAGTTATCGTCATTTTATACAAAAACAAAAAATCATTTGGAAGCCGCCATCTTGAATTTATAAATTTTAACAGGAAAATCATGATCTCCGACCTCGAAAACCCCCACTTACCAATTTTGAATGGAATCGGACCAAATCTTGTCCGCCATCTTGGAGCAGCCATTTTTTTTAATTTCAACAAAAATTCCATAATGTATTGTCACCAAAATTATAAACACCTGCCAAATTTCAAGTTAATCGGAGTTATGGAATTTTTGTTGGAATTAAAAAAATGGCTGCTCCAAGATGGCGGACAAGATTTGGTCCGATTCCATTCAAAATTGGTAAGGAGGGGTTTTTGAGGTCGAAGATAATGATTTTCCTGTTGAAATTCATAAATTCAAGATGGCGGCTCCCAAAAAATTTTTCGTTTTTGTATAAATGACGATAACTCCGTTGTTATCAACACATAACTATTACTGCGACATATCATCTGTAAGACAAAAAAAAGTTATTTGTAACTAAGTCATAGTGAGCTATAACCTACATTTGAAAAACTAGAGTTGGTGCTAATATCTCAAATTCTAGAAGAGTTGGTATAAATTTCATATTTTTTTCGAAATCATTTTAAAAAACTGCCATGAGAATGTGAAATTTCTATTTGAATATTTTCATAAATAAATAAGTTACGGAGGAGACATGAAAATGATCAAAATCTGTTTTTTGCGTATAAAACAAAAACGAATAGATTTTATCAAAATATTTTTTCACATTATAGTTGGCCTTGACAAACTCCACATTTGGTGTCATTTAACCGACCTCGTATCTCTCACCGTTAAAAAGATACCCATGGTGAGCATGGTAAGTGGGACACACTGTATTGAAATAATAGGCATATTTTTATTTTATAGAAACGAGGAGAGAAAATCCCAAAAAATCAAGTAAAATGTACTTACATTCCATTGACAAACTCGCCCATTATTTGGGGATTGCTGGTGAACGCTATGGTAGGAATTGTCGCGAATGGCAACTGCAGACTCATCACGGCATTGAGGATGTCGTTCATGCTCGTCAGATCTTCGAGATTGCTGAAGAACGCCAGACAGAAGGTCGGAACGATGGCGATCGTTCTGGTGAAGAGCACTCTCTTCCATTTGGGCCATTGCAGGTTCAAGAAGCCCTCCATCGCGAACTGACCAGCGTACGTACCTTATAAAGTCCCATAAAAACAATAGTCATTTATAATTCGCGAAAATCGCGAACCAATAGATGGCTCTATTTAACGTCAAATCAACGTCAAATTTCAAACTGAGTATGAACAACAAAAACATTGCCGTATGCACTCATTGCAAATTGGTTATTTCGAAATCATTTTGCAAAATAGTGAATAATGAGTTGACTTCGTGAAATACGTACAAGGTTTTCAGTATGGAAAAAATTACTTTTTGTGCGGAGAAATTGCCATTTTGATGTGGACAATGGTGGTATTCATCATTGATATCACACTACGATTCCACAGTTTTCAAACATATGGAATGGTCGGAATGGTCCACTCAACACTTGCATGGACTGGAATGGAGCCATATAAGCAATCAGCTATTACAACAATATGGTATAGGTATGAAGAAATAATTGAATTCATCAAGAAATATCACTGGCTTTTATGGAGGAGATGGAATTCTAGTGAAGGGGATGGGAAAAGAAGATAGGAAATGCTCCTCAGAATGAACAATATCATCGATTTACATAAACAAAGATCTCCAGCAATTGAAGACTTGGAGTTATTCTCAAGATCGAATCATTGCAACCAACATTTACACAAGGATTCTAACTGTGTTTCAGAAAATGTATATTATATTATTATAAGGTAGGTACTGGCTTCTTCATTGTAAACAATAAAAGTTCATACAATAATTCGAGTTTTTTCATCAGGGAAAAATGAGGTTCTGGAATATGAACTTCAAAAAATAAATTATTTTCAAATAAAACACAGAAACTCGAAACAATGGTCGCCATATTTGTTGTTCATACTCGCAAGACTTGTAAAGTTAGCCACCAGAGGCCGCACACTTCGTGATTTTCGCGAATATAACGTGATTTTATCTTCGAACCTTCAAACACAACTCACCGGTCATTGTGGAACTTTGTCCTGCTGCTAAAATGCCGAGAGCCCAAATATACATGGCTGCCAATCCATAGGTGCATCCTAGAAATATTCCACCGCGATATAGATCGGCATCCACATATTCGTTGTTAATCTGTAAAATGAAACGGTAAAGAAGGATAGGCGACAGGATAATGTTGAAGAATTTCGAGTCACTAGGTATTAATTTTAGTTGTTTGTTCATTATTTCTGTAAATCCTGTAGATAACAGAAGTCTGATAGTTTTGGACATGATTTTGGGTGATTCTTAATCAAGGATGCAGTGACAAAAGTGAAGATAGGGACATAAAAGCTGTTTTGACCTATGATAAATAGTTTTGACACAAAAAACACCAAAAGTTGAATAATCTCGATTTTGAACACCCTATATCTATGTAATCATTCCCGCTAGACTCCCAAGTGATATATTGATAAACTGAGCTCTTCAGAAAGACCGAAAATGCGATGAAATACAGGGTGTTCTATTCAGAAATATCTCCTGATGTAGCAAGAACAAATTTTCTGAAAAATCATTTCAGATGTTTTATAAAATTTTTAAATCGTTTATGAATTAACTGAGCTAGAGGAGGGGCAATTTATGGTGAATCAACCTGCACCTTCACCAATAAAGACGATTCATTATCATTATTAGTATCATTATTATTATTTGAAATTCTCGAGAATGAAAAATTGTGTTATTCTAGATGCCACCACGGAATTTGAATCTACTTGATTCATGATTTATCTGAACTGAAAGGACCCCTCACAATGAGACTAAGTTCGTAGGATTTGGTTGCACCAAACTGTAGTAGTGAGTTTTTTCATAGCGCTATTCATCCTCCTTTCCCTCTGTCATTTGAAGAGCTAGCGCAATTTTTTTCGATCGGGATGATTGGAAATCAACTCAAGATTATGAAAAACGTGATTTTAAACATGTTTTGATATATCAAGATTCTGAATTCTGCACGACCCTGTATTTGTTTCAATTAAATGTCAGTAGATAGTTGATCAAAAGTTGAGATAGGGACATGTGAGCCGTTTTGACCAATAATGAATAGTTTCGACAAAAAAAATTCCTAAAGTTGAAAAATGTCGATTTTTCACACCCTATATCTCTGTAATCATTTCCGCTAGACCCCAAGTGTGATACATCGATGAAATCAGCTCTTCAGAGAGAATCTGAAAATGCAATAAAATACAGGGTGTTCCATTTAAAATAACAAAGTTGTTGCTACTTTTCGATAGAAGCGGCAACGCTGCAGAGCTGAAAATATTTTAGATCGATAGACCAATAGCAACTACGTGAGTAACCAAATTTTCAGAATGATCCTATGTCCCGTTCTCCATAAACGTCTAACGTACCATCGACCCGTGAGTTACCCTGTATAAAACGGAATCGTTATTGATCTGAATCTAGCAGCCATCTAATTTATTTGATGATCATGGGCATCTACTCATGTTCATCTTGTAAGGCCTTCACAAGCCTTGTAAAAACACCTAAAACCACACAAAATCTCTATTCTTACCTAATAATAATAATATAATGTATAAGGTAAATACATAAGCATGCCAGATGTCAATTTTATACAGACGGTATGTATGCTGTTATCAAAGCCATAGATAAGTTTTTATCTCTAGCAGAGCTCTACACATATACACAGTATTTGAGATTTCAAATATTTTTTGTAAAAAAATTCAAGACAAATGTTATGTAAGTATATTATATGCAAAATATCAAGTTCTAGTATTAATAAACAATAAGTTAGTGTATGTTTATCTAGGTATATTATGATATGCAAATTATCTAGTTTTAGAATTAATGTAACAACAAGTTAGTGTATGCAGTAGGGTCGGATTAAATTATCATTTGACATTTGTTCCACATTTACAGAGTGAACCGTTTGTAAGATTGCAAGTTGAACCTATCTTTTATGAAAGATCACCACTTCAGCAAATTATTTATGTAGCGATAATTGAAATGGTTAGTGAGAAGACTGAAAAGTTTGGTAAACCGTTTGAAAAATCATCGAGGACGTTTTATCTTCCACCCTGTATACAGCGTGTCTCACTTTAACGCCCCCCCCCCCCCTCTATATCTCAGTTATTAGTCATGCGATTCCAACCAAATTTGGTGTGGTATGAAGAACCATCGATATGATCAGTTTTACAGAGATGCACAATATTTTGGACAGTGCCGTGCGTTTTTATTGAACTAAAGAGGGGTCGATTTTTCATAAAATCATATTAGACATTTTTTTACAGGAAATCTAACCTCATATTATTTTTCCTCATGCTTTCGAACCTCCATATGCAAAAATCACCTAATTCCGAATAAACAAGATTGGCTTCATTTTTTTCTTTTTCAGTCTCGAATAAATAGTGCCTTCAAATTAACTACGAATTTTGGAACGCTCAATGGCTCCGGTAGGTGGAAAAACATGATTTGGAAGAAAAAACGGATTATACTTTTTTATGTTGAACTCACCGTTTCCGAGTAAATAATTATTGCGTTCGCAAAAATTCTGTTTAAATGTGCCTGTTTTCCTGAAACCCTTCATAAGCATCTTATGAAAATCCACATATTATGTGGGTTTGAAACCATGAAGAACAATATTATGAGGTCAGTTTTCCTGTGAAAAAATGCCTAATATGATTTAATAAAAAACTGACCCCTATTCATTTCAATAAAAATGGACGGCACTGTCTAAAATGATGTTTGTCTTTGAAGAACTGGTCATATTGATGATTTTTTATACCGATACGAATTTGCGATTTTTCCACTTTTTGCAATTTTCAGGAATTTTTGCAATTTTTGCAATTTTCAGGAATTTTTTGCGATTTTTGCAATTTTCAGGAATTTTTTCGATTTTTACAATTTTCAGGAATTTTTAAAATTTTTGCAATTTTCAGGAATTTTTGCAATTTTCAGGAATTTATGCAATTTTGCACTTTTCCATAATTTTTGCAATTTTTGCAATTTTCAGGGATTTTTCCGATTTTTTCGATTTTTACAATTTTCAAGCATTTTTGCGATTTTTGCAATTTTCAGGAATTTTTGCGATTTTTGCAATTTTCAGAAATTTTTGCAATTTTTGCAATTTTCAGTAATTTTTGTGATTTTTTCGATTCTTGC